CCAACAACACCACTGCCCCAACTCCCCCCAACCGAGAGGGCCTTCCACTAATACTCACCACTCCCCCAACTCCCCACGACAGAGAGAAAGACACTCACCTTCACAGCTAAGGATATCCCCAGGAACGGCAATCGGGCTCTGCATACACCATCAAGCATCCCACAGCCTCTCTTGGATCTCACCTGGTCTCCATGCCATATATGTCCCTTCTTCCAGGGGCCATTGCTGCCCCCCTGAAAAATGCCATCCTAGGCAAATGCCTTGTTTATCTTGTGGTAAATACGCCTCTGGCTGGGACCCAATCAGACAATGGGACCAGAGTAGCTTTAGAATAGGTAAGTATAAGCATTTTTCCTTTCACCGGGTAGATAGAATAGGCTTAGAATGGTGGTGGGAGTAGGTTTAGCCTTAGTTAGAATTTTACTTGAAATCCATTTTAAGTTTCTGCTAGTCAGCCTGAAAAATCACAGCACTCAAAGTTTGCCCCATTCTGCAGAATCCTGCCAGCTATGTGCAGTGATGTCACTTCCTGCTCTGTGCTGCTGAAGGGCAGGTTAGCAGTTTATTGTGCCCAATGCTGTTTAGTTGCTGGAATCAAGAAAACTGTGCTGCTGCTGCTTGCATGCTCCATGAATGGAGGTGTGCTGACAGCTCTACAATTATGTCAGCACATCTTCTTTTAGCTTACAGAAACTAACAGTGTCAACAGCTTAGCAGAATAAATAGATGCAAAACCAGATGCAGCACCCTCCAGGTTAGCTAGATACGCTGTTTGTTCTTTTCTTTTTAGGCAGAGGCTGAGTAGCAGCCTGGGATGAGTCAGCCTGTGAGTGAGGCAGGAGTTCACCTCAGGACAGGCTAGGGATGTTCTAAGGTCAAAGCTTCTGGAGTCCTCCCACCTCTACAGAAACCTGAGAACTTTCTGGAGGAGGGATGGAGAAGGCACTGATCTGCATGCTTGAGGGACCCTTGCTAATCCCCTGGCAGGAGGATGGCCATGGTGACCAAGGCAACCCTTAAGTATTTTAGAACCTGTGCAGTCAGGGCAGTGTCGGGTGGAAGATAGACTGAGAGGAAGGCTGGAGTGAGGAGCATGGCAGGGAGCCCCAAGGGAGGAGAGTCCACCTGCAGACAGGATTCTGGAAGGGAGGATCTCTTCTGTCCCATTGGAAGAACAACCTGTTTAGTATGGAAGAGCCAGCCCAGCATAAGGCTTAAAGGCAGCCACCAACTCACCGAGCAAACAGGAAAATACACAGTGAGTACTCCTACACCACCTCGGCCAGATAAGGAGAGAGGGTGGTCAGGTGCAAAACCCAACTAGTCTTCATCTGGGACTGTTCTAAATCTACAGTTCTTGGGCCCCCTTGCCCAGGGAATACCCTCAGGCAGATGGGAGAAGAGGAGGATTCATCTGGGGTCTGAGGAGGTTCACCAATAATCTTTGGATGATCTTAGAGGAGATTTATGTCCATATTTTTGTATATAGTTGCTCTAAGTTGTCTTTTACAGTTTCCTAGGGTAACCAATACACTCCTTGACCCCATCCAAGTTGTTAACCCCTAAAAAAAGCAAAACAACCAAGCTCAAGGATTGTTTACTGTCTCCAGTGTGCAAAGTGTGGAAGAAAATGTGTTGCCTGGCTGTGCAGCGCTTTAGGAGGATTCAAAAACTGAGCAACTTCTAAGGGGGTAGTCCTACAGAAAGAACACTTACCCTACACTGTAGCAGCACAGTTATTGCACAGGTAGATTTATTACTGCAGGTAGTACACTGGGGGACAGCATTGGCTCTGATTATAGAGACTTTCCAGGGTAGGATTTGGATCATTTGAATATGCCCCCGGTGCTTGTATGTGCAAAATGCCTTCCTACCTCAATCCAACTCTCCATACCACCTCACTGTGTCTCCCTAGTCACTGAACCTCCCTCCATCACCTCCCTTTTTGCTGTGCCACCCACCTATTCTCCAGGTTACTGCACCTCCCACCCACCTCATACCGCAACGTCCCTTCCTTCACTTATCTCCTTCCACCTACCCCAGTCAGAGCACCTTTCACACAAAATAAAATATTTTAAGCAACAGACAGCATGGATTCATGAAAGACAGAAGTTGTCAGACAAATCTGATTTCTTTTTATGAGACAGGTGAGCAAAAACGTGGACAGAGGGGTGGTTGTGGACATGGTATACTTGGACAGAGGGGTGGCTGTGGATGTGGTATATTTGGACAGAGGGGTGGTTGTGGACGTGGCATACTTGGACAGAGGGGTGGCTGTGGACGTGGTATACTTGGACAGAGGGGTGGCGGTGGACGTGGTATACTTGGATTTTGCAGAAGTGTTTGACACAGTTCCTCACACATGGCTAATGTGTAAGGTAGAGTCTATGGGATTAGAAAAAATCGGTATATAAATGGATAGAAAACTGGCTAAAAGATCGTATTCAGACAGTAGTAGTTAATGATTCATACTATGAATGGTGTAGGGTTGTCAGTGGTGTACCCCAAGGTTCAGTGTTGGGACCCTAACTTTTTAATATACTTATATATGATATATGGTCTGGGATTAAAAATACAGTTTCAGTCTTTGCAGATGACACCAAGCTGTGCAGTGAAATAAAGTCCTTAAAGGATGTCTCCAACTTACAAGCCAACGTCAGTGCTCTGTTTAATTGGGCAACTATGTGGCAAATGAGGTTTAATGTTGATTAATGTAAGGTTATGCACTTGGGGGCTAAGAATATGCATGCATCATACATACTGGGGGGGGTACAACTGGGGGGATCAATGGTGGAGAAGGATCTGGGAGTTCTGGTAGATCACAAGCTTAATAATGGCATGCAATGACAAGCTGCAGTTTCTAAAGCGAGCAAAATCCTCTCTTGTATTAAAAGAAAGTATAGACTACAGAGAGAGAGATATCATATTACCCCGGTACAAATCATTAGTAAGACCTCATCTGGAATATGCAGTTCAGTTTTGGGCACAAATTCACAAAGAGAACATTGGGGAACTGGAGAAAGTACAGAGAAGGGCAACCAAACTGATAAGAGGCATGGAGGAGCTCAGCTATGAGGAAAGATTAGAGGAACTGAATTTATTCTCTCTTAAGAAGAGGAGATTAAGGGGGGATATGATCTCCATGTATAATACATAAGGGGGGATATGATCTCCATGTATAATACATAAGGGGGGATATGATCTCCATGTATAATACATAAGGGGGATATGATCTCCATGTATAATACATAAGGGGGGATATGATCTCCATGTATAATACAGAAGGGGGGATATGATCTCCGTGTATAATACATAAGGGGGGATATGATCTCCATGTATAATACATAAGGGGGATATGATCACCATGTATAATACATAAGGGGGGGATATGATCTCCATGTATAAATACATAAGGAGGGATATGATCTCCATGTATAATACATAAGGGGGATATGATCACCATGTATAATACATATGTCAGGAATGGACTGGCCAGCAATGGTGGGACTCACCTGCCTTGTGAGCTGCAGTACCGGGGCTGGCCAGCGGGTGCTCCCAGCAATCAGGAGACTCAACCTTGCAGCCAGTCAAACACCTGGAACTAATTATACTGGTGTATTTAAGGGACATTCAGACCTGCAGACTCTGCCTTGGTGTTGTTTTTTTCCTGGGCCCTGTATCTTGTTCCTGCATCCTGCATCCTGATCCTGCTCCTGTTCCTGTCCCTGTCTTGTTGCTGACCCGGCTTGATTCTGACCTCTGCTGACTTCTCCTGTTCTGATCCCTGGCTTGTGACCCCGACCATTCTCTGCCTGACCCCCTGTACCTACCTGCCTGTTAGTTGCTGTACCCTGCTCGTGACCTGACTATTCTCCGCTTGCTCCCCCTGTACCTACCTGCCCGATTGATATTGACCCGGCCTGCCTGACAACGCTTGCACTGTATGTACTGTTATCTGTGGGTGGTTTGGTTTGGTTCGTTTGCACTGTGTTATGTTTTAGTATTGCACTGCGTTTATGTTTGTATTGTTATTGTTAATAAATTGTTTATAACTTATCTGAAGTCTGCATTTCCCTGCGTCAGTCACACACCTCTGGTCATACCCGGGAGCCCTGACATTACACCAAGGCCCATCCTGACCAGAAGTGGCTGCACAGGGAAGCCATCTTGGTTTGTTGATGGGAAGGATGGATCTGGATGAGGTTGCGTATTTATATCTGCTAGTGTTTGATGACAGGGAGTATGCTTATCAAACTCTGAAGGAGTATACCCGGGATGAACTGCTAGAATGTATACGGCTCGCTCATGTTCTAGTAGATCAGGGCACAGAGTTCTCTGAGGTGCAGCCATTGACTGAGGTTTGTGCTGAGTTGGTTTCATCTGGTACCCCCGAATGCAGGGATGAATTTTTGCCGCCATTTAGTGCCGACCAGGTAGAGTCCCTGGTGTGGTTATTAGAGGATGATGTGGGTTACTTTCTGGAGCGTTATTCCACATGTTCACCACAGGTACTCAGAGATTGTATAAATGCAGTGCAGTCTTTGGTCAGACAGGCTTTGTGTAAGCTCAGCTTTGTTCAACCCATACTTCAGACATGGACAGATTTGTTGCACCCAGCCTCAGTCAGCTTACAAAGACCCAGTCCTGCTTCTAATCTATTTCCTCAAAGCTCTACTCCTGTATTCCCAACAGCTCCTCCAGTTACAGCCAGTATACTTGGCTATCTACCGCATGTCAGTACCCTGTTCCCACTCGCTGCACCTATCCTGCCTTTAACCCTGTAAAGAAGCCCTCTGTAGCAACTGTTCCTTCCCCCTGTTCCATCCTCCAGCTCTTCTCTGTCTCCAGCTGCTCCATTCGTTTGCAGACCTGCGTTTACTTGCAGTGCCCAGTAGTTAAAACCAGAAAAAAGCAAAAATTCTTTCCAACCAGTACCATCCTGCCAGTATCCAAACCGGTGAGCCTACCGTCTGAGAACCTGCCTTCCGTGGTTCAGCCTGATGCCTCTCTTCAGCCTGATGCCTCTCTTCAGCCTGATGCCTGTACTCAGCCTGATGCCTGTACTCAGCCTGATGAGCCTCTACTCAGCCTGAAGCCTCTACTCAGCCTGAAGCCTCTATTCAGCCTGAAGCCTCTACTCAGCCTGAAGCCTCTACTCAGCCTGAAGCCTCTACTCAGCCTGAAGCCTCTACTCAGCCGGATGCCTCTACTCAGCCTGAAGCCTCTACTCAGCCTGAAGCCTCTACTCAGCCTGAAGCCTCTACTCAGCCGGATGCCTCTACTCAGCCGGATGCTTCTACCCAGCATAATGAACTGATCCAGCCTGATGATCCTATTAGGCCAGTTGACTCGATGCCCGCTGTTGATCCAGATGATCCGGTGCCCGCTGTCGTGCCAATTGACTCAGAGCCCGCTGTTGTACCTGGTGACTCGGTGCCCACTGCCTTGCCAGATGACGCGGTGCCCGCTGGCGAGCCAAATGACCTGATGCCTGGTGACCCAGTGCCCGCTGTCATACCTGGTGACCCGATGCCCGCTGTCGAGCCAGACAATCGGTACCTGATGACCCGGTGACCGCTGTCGTGCCAATTGAGTCAGAGTCCACTGTCGTGCCTGGTGACTCGGTGCCCACTGCCGTGCCAGATGACGCGGTGCCCGCTGGCGAGCTAAATGACCTGATGCCTGGTGACCCAGTGCCCCCGCTGTCATACCTGGTGACCCGATGCCCGCTGTCGAGCCAGACGATCCAATGCCTGGTGACCCAGTGCCCGCTGTCACACCTGGTGACTCGGTGCCTGCAGTCTTGCCAGACGACTCGGTGCCCGCAGTTCTTGCCAGACGACTCGGTGCCTGCAGTTCCGCCAGTTGACTCGATGCCCGCTGTTCCGCCAGTTGACTTGGTGCCCGCAGTCTTGCCAGACGACTCGGTGCCCGCAGTCTTGCCAGACGACTCGGTGCCCGCAGTCTTGCCAGACGACTTGGGTGCCCGCAGTCTTGCCAGACGACTCGGTGCCCGCAGTCTTGCCAGACGACTCGGTGCCCGCATTCTTGCCAGACGACTCGGTGCCCGCAGTCTTGCCATACGACTCGGTGCCCGCTGTTCCGCCAGTTGACTCGGTGCCCGCAGTCTTGCCAGACGACTCGGTGCCCGCAGTCTTGCCAGACGACTCGGTGCCCGCAGTTCCGCCAGTTGACTCGATGCCCGCTGTTCCGCCAGTGACTCGGTGCCCGCAGTCTTGCCAGACGACTCGGTGCCCGCAGTCTTGCCAGACAACTCGGTGCCCGCTGTTCCGCCAGTTGACTCGATGCCCGCTGTTCCGCCAGACGACTCGGTGCCCGCAGTCTTGCCAGACGACTCGGTGCCCGCAGTCTTGCCAGACGACTCGGTGCCCGCAGTCTTGCCAGACGACTCGGTGCCCGCAGTTCCGCCAGTTGACTCGATGCCCGCTGTTCCGCCAGTTGACTCGGTGCCCGCAGTCTTGCCAGACGACTTGGTGCCCACTGTCGTGCCTGGTGACTCGGTGCCCGCCGCTCTGCCTGGGGGCCCGAGACCTGTCGCTCCGCCTGGGGGTCCGGCGCCCGCCGCTCCGCCTGGGGGTCCGGCGCCCGCCGCTCCGCTTGAGGGCCCTAGACCTGTCGCTCTGCCTGGGGTCCGGCGCCCGCCGCTCCGCCTGGGGGCCCGATGCCTGTCGCCCCGCCTGGGGGCCCAATGCCTGTCCCGCCCCGCCTGGGGGCCCGATGCCTGTCGCCCCTCTGGGGCCCGGGCGCCCCCCCCCCGCCGACTCTCTGCTTGGGGGCCCGATGCCTGTTGCCCCGCCTGGGGGCCCAATGCCTGTCGCCCTGCCTGGGGGCCCGATGCCTGCTGCTTCACCTGGTAATCTCCCGATGTGCCTCTGCCCGGAGTCCAGCCCGATGTGCCTCTGCCCGGAGTCCAGCCCGATGTGCCTCTGCCCGGGAGTCCAGCCTCTGCCCGGAGCCCACCCGATGTGCCTCTGCCCGGAGTCCAGCCCGATGTGCCTCTGGCCCGGAGTCCAGAGTCCAGCCCGATGTGCCTCTGCCCGGAGTCCAGCCGATGTGCCTGCTGCCCCGGTGTGCCGCTGCCCGGAGTGCCTCTGCCCGGAGTCCAGCCCGATGTGCCTCTGCCCGGAGTCCAGGCCGATGTTCCTCTGCCCGGAATGTCCAGCCCAATGTGCCTTGCCCGGAGTCCAGGCCCGATTGTGCCTCTGCCCGGAGTCCAGCCCGATGTGCCTCTGCCCTCGAGTCCAGCCCGATGTGCCTCTGCCCGGAGTCCAGCCCGATGTGCCTCTTGCCCGGTGTGCCTCTGCCCGGTGTGCCGCTGCCCGGAGTCCTGCCCGGTGTGCCAGTCTTGATATCCCGCCAGTTACCAGACCCGGGCGGTGGAACTTTTTTTGCCCAGCTAGGACTGTTTGGAGCGTCCTGAGGCCTGCTCCTTGAGGGGGGGGGGGGTACTGTCATGAATGGACTGGCCAGCAATGGTGGGACTGACCTGCTTGTGAGCTGCAAGTACCGGGGCTGGCCAGCGGGTGCTCCCAGCAATCAGAGAAGCTCAACCTTGCAGCCAGTCAAACACCTGGAATAATTATACTGATGTATTTAAGGGACATTCAGACCTGCAGAAACTCTGCCTTGGTGTTGTGTTTTTTACCTGGGCCCCTGTATCTTGTCCTGCATCCTGCATCCTGCATCCTGCTCCTGTTCTGTCCCCTGTCTTGTTGCTGACCCGGCTTGATTCTGACCTCTGCTGACTTCTCCTGTTCTGATCCCTGGCTTGTGACCCCGACCATTCTCTGCCTGATTCCCCTGTACCTACCTGCCTGTTAGTTGCTGTACCCTGCTCGTGACCTGACTATTCTCCGCTTGCTCCCCCTGTACCTACCTGCCCGATATTGATATTGACCCAGCCTGCCTGACAACGCTTGCACTGTATGTACTGTTATCTGTGGGTGGTTTGGTTTGGTTCGTTTGCACTGTGTTATGTTTTAGTATTGCAACATGCGTTTATGTTTGTATTGTTAGTGTAATAAATTGTTTATAAACTTATCTGAAGTCTGCGTTTCCCTGCATCAGTCACACACCTCTGGTCATTACTGGTCATACCCGGGAGCCCCATGACAAGGGGCATAAGGGGGATATGATCTCATGTATAATACATAAGGGGGGGATATGATCTCCATTGTATATATAATACATAAGTTGGGATATGATCTACCCATGTATATATACATAAGGGGGATATGCTCTCCATGTATAATTACATAAGGGGGGATATGATCTCCAGTATAATACATAAGGTGGATATGAACTCCATGTATAATACATAAGGGGGGATATGATCTCCATGTATAATACATAATGGGATATGATCTCCCTGGATATACATAAGGGGGGATATATCCCAGTATATACATAAGGGGGGGAAGATCTCATGTATAATCTAAGTGGGATATGATCTCCCCTGTAAATACAAAAAGGGGGGGGTATGATCTCCTGTATAAAAACAAAGGGGATATATCACCTGTA